GTCATATGACTGGACTCCCATCATCCCCCAGACTTCTATCATCTACCATACGTTCCATCTTCCATGTCCGGCTGGGAACATATTTTTAAAAGCAACAAAAGAAAATAAATTTTCTATTTATGACAATGTTCAGCCTCTCTACTTATTCCTCCCCAGGCCTTACTTCTTGGTAGGAAATAGTACATAATAAAAAGGCAGGCAGGACTGGGTGTTTTAAAATTTTAATCTTATTGCTACTATCGTTGCTTATCATGAATTTGTGCAAAACATTTTGCATTCTGCCTTCTTGGCATATTCAGTTCCTTACAATTGCCTACAAGTGTTGGGGGGAAAGCTATAACAACACCCACTCGTGAAAAAAACCTCAATGCTTGGCTATGCTCCTTAACATATAAATGTTCATTGCCCCTCTCCTTTTCTGCACCTTCCATTTTTCCAGTTCCCCCTCTGGAGTTACAAAGACCTGATTTTGAAAATGCCAGAATCACAGGGCTCCATACAATTGCTGTAATGGCATATACAGATAGAGTATGGATTTGTGTGAGCTAAGTGGCCAACTGAATGGCTATTTGCAAGGACAAATATCCAATATCCTCATAGAATTTTAGTACCTGTGCTTTCAAATTAGGCACACAACTGCATGCAACCATTGCTTTGTGATCTAATGGAATAAAAATCAAGGTCCTGAGTTTTAAATTCAAGTTTCTATTTAATCTCTTTGACTTGGTTTATACTCTTTGACAAAGCATCTTTGCCCTTGTTTTTAATGTTCCCTGAGCACTACAAAAGTCTAATAAGTATTAGATTTGTTGTAGGTGACTTACATGATAAATGGAACTCATTTTCCTTATGTTTCTTATGTTTCTAATTTAAAGACTAATAATGCATTGCTATGTCAAATAAGTATCATAGTCTGTGCCTATATATCCTTTGTGTACCAGTCATTTGTTATTTCTATAGCACCATCACTGTGCATATAGCAACTTACAGTTACTGATTATATGACAGGAGAAAGATTTCAGTCAATCACAGCCAAGAAGAAAAATGTTATTGTCCCAACAATGCTGATATCTTTATTAGCACCAGGCTGAATTCATTCCGGATGGAACTTCATCTATTTCAATGGCATTGCAGCCAGGATGAATTATGTGTTCAAATGTCATCATTCCTTTTCTTCACAGATCATTTTCTCAAAGAATTATTCACTGTTTATTTCTGTCCTTCTGTAGTCCCTGGAACATCATCTTGTGTGGTCCCAGAGGAAGGATGGTCCAGTGGTTAAGAAGCAAGCTTTGTACTTGGGAAACTGTGGTTCACTTCTCTGATCTGCCAGATTTCCTGTGTGACCCTGGGGAAGATTCTCAGGGCTGGATCCACAAAAGGATTTAGATTCCCAGTGTCTATGGCACCCAGTAGTATTTACAGCTCTGAATTAAGACTAGGCTCCCTGTGCTCCACTTCCATGGGGCAAGTGAGACACCTAAAGATGGGATCCTTCAGAACCAGAAGGATAAGTGCCAGCTCTGGGTCAGAAGGAGCTTCTCTCTCTGCTTCAGATTCTCAGCAATGAACATGATCCTGGAATTATGCATGAAACCAGGTCAGCTCTTTCTTTAAAGAAAAAAACCCAGAGAGAGAGACAAAACCCACACTACACAACCATCCATTGCACTCACCTGAGAGAGGGACACCTGGTTTCATAGGATTATAGTAAAGTGGGGCTGGAAGGGACCTCATGAAGTCATCTAGTCCAGCCTTCAGCTCAAGGCAGGATCCTCCATGAGTAAACCATCCCAGCCAAGTGTCTGACCTACTATTAAGAAAGTCCAGGAAAGGAGATTCCACAACTTCTCTAAGTAATCTGTTCCAGTGCTTGACTACCATCATAGTCAGCAAGTTTTTCCTAATAGCCAACCTATATTTCCTCTGCTGCAGCTTGAGTTCATTGCTCCTAGTCCTGTCCCCTATGGCCACAGAGAATAGTTTATCTCCAGCCTCTTTATAATTACCCTTCAGGTATTTGAAGATTGTTATCAATTCCCCACTCAGTCTTCTCTTGTCCAGACTAAATAACCCTATTTCTTTCAGCCTATCTGTATAAGTCAGGCTCCCCAGGCCTCTAATCATTTTTGTCACTCTCCACTGGGTTCTTTCTAATCTGTCCACATCTTTCAAACCCCAACTCTGCTTATTTGAAGAGCAGGAACTTGAAACCTATTTTTTTTCAATAGCCCAGGAATGTGTCCTAACCACCCAACCGCAGTAAGTTTCTTCCTTCTTCCCTTTTCCTTTATGATCCATGAATATTTAATGATTTACAAAAAAATAGAACAGCTATAGATGCGAGAGTCTGGGAAAACCTCACATCAGAATATTGAATAACCTCGTAGCCAAAGCATTCTCCTGGGTTGTGGAAGATCTGGCTTCATGGCATTGCTCCAAATCAGTCTGGGCTTCTCACATCCTAGGAAAGTCTGTTCACCTGGGGGTTTGGGGTATAAGAGACTGTGACAGGTTCATATTCCAGAGACAGCTGTGACGACCCCTGGTGGCCATGTAATTCCTGCATGAGCTCTAACTCCAGGGACCCTCACCTCCTCTACTCACCTGCCACACCTTTGATGTTGTTAGGGTGGAGTTTTCTTGAGGGACCTAGACTGAGCCTCAGTCTTTTTAGACCTGAGACCTCTTCTCAGACCTTGGCCTTCTCA